TTTTCTTGAATGTGAACAAGAAGATATTGCTTTTTTAGGCAACAATAAACACCACACAGGCAATTATCCTTGCTGAGGCACTCCCCAAATAAGGTGGTGTTATAATTTTGGGCACGGAGGATCATGCATGGCCCGACATCACACCCTTCCATTTTCTTTTCAATGTAGCATAGTATCCAAGTTTTTCAATTTTTTCCATCCGCAGGCATAACAAAATTAGATCCATTACTACTTCTTTTATGACTCTTATCATACGAACCAAAATATTGTGGACAAATTATTGAAGATCTCTAGTGGCTTAATGTAAGTTACCTCTCACAATCTTGAGGGATTTTTTTTTTAAATTTTTTAAGTTAAAATCTTGTGGGTTCAAAAGTTATCTTTTGAGATGTTTGGCTTGAACAAAATTGAATAGTAATTTTTTTGGGGTCAACACCATACATAGGGAATGGATACTAGTTCTAACATTTAAAAAAAAAAAAAGAATATTTGAAGGAAGGAGGCATGGATAATAAAATTTAATTTTAAAATTAGTCTTGTTGGTTCAATAGTTACCTTGTTGCAATTGTTGTAATTTAAATTATATAGTAAATTGAATACTAATTTTTTTTTATAAACACCATGCACGAGGGAGGGACATTAGTCCTAAAATTTTATTGAAAAAATAGAAATAGTGGAAGAAGGGGGGCATAGATAGTAAAATTTAAAGTAGAATGACTTTTGTTATATTAAATGATACAATAAGCAATACTAGTAACTAGATGGATCATTAGGAGTTAATTATAGATGGAAATGTCATTAACTTTTCAATAATATAAACACAAAAATGTTAAAGGTTTTTAAACTCTAATATCACTCAAACAGTTAGTACGTATTATCACTTTTGTTTTTCATTCACAATCAGTACTCTCATATAAGGTAAATATGCTAAATTTAGTGCTTGATATTAAAATGTGAAACTTTTAATATCTTTATAGTCCAAAAGACAAGGAGAAAAAACTTAGGTTCAACCATAAGCATTACATATAAAACACATGAAGATAATTCATACTTTACAATAACATATATAAAAAAATCATTATGCATAAATCACATGGGGATAACTCATAACTAACCATAACATATAAAAGACCAAAAAGCATTACATGTAAACCACATAGGGTTAACTCATAATTTATCCACAAAAATAATTTTAAAAAATTGGCAATAAGAACTGGATGATTGTATTCATCTATTTGAAAAAGAATAGCCACTGGTTTGGCGACTCATTGTTGATTGTCTGCATAGGAGTTCGTTTCATGACAATTTCCATCAAATGAAGGGCCTGTTTGGAACTGAGTTTTTTGGCCAAGTTTTTTAGCTACTAGTTTTTTAACAATTTTAGCTACAGGAACCCAAAAAAACTTATCAAATTTTTTAACCTACACACTTCAAAATATCTAACACACAAAAAACTTCCTTTTTTCTTCTTCTTTCTCTCCCACCCCTATCCACCACACCTTCATCGCCGGCCACCCCTCCGCCGCCGGCCACCACCACCTCCGCCGCTGTTTCCAACGCCGGCCACCTATTCCGGCGCCTGCCTACCCCTTTTTTTTTCCTTCTCCCTCTCCCTCCCCCTCCCCTTCCCTCCCCTCCCCTCCTTGGCCACCCTCACGCTTCCTCTCTGGTTGCACGCTACTGCGATCTGGTCGAACGACCGGATTGGGCAAAAGGGGAGGGGAGGAGAATGGGAGAGGGACATGTAGGAGAGGGGGAGAGAAAGCAAAAAAAAATAATTATATTCTGCCATGGCTACTGGTTCTCTGCTTCGGGAGGGAGAGGGGGATGGTGAAGGGGAGTAGAGGGGGAGAGGGGAGCAGAGAGGGAGAAGAGGGGAAGAGAAAAAGAAAAAAAATTTGGGGAGAGGGGCTGCTAGTCGTCTAGTACCGCGAGGGAAGAGGGAGGGGGAAGGAAGGAAGAAGAAGAAGATGATGAGAGGAAAGAAAAGAAAAAGGAAAGAAAGAAAGAAAAAGAAAAAGAGAGAGAAAAAGAAAGAAAAGAAAAAAAATGGTAGGGCCATGGCTGCTGGGAATTGGGAAGGCAGAGGTAACGGGGAAGGGAAGGGGGAAGGAGAAGGAAGAAGAAGAAAAGAGAAAAGAAAAGAAAAAGGAAAGAAAGAAAAAGAAAAAGAAAAAGAAAGAAAAGAAAAAAAAAAGTTTTTCACCTTACAAAAACTTCTACAAAAAAGTTTTTCACCTTACAAAAATTTCTACAATTTTTTCAAAAACTTCTACAGTGCACTACAGTAAAGTTTTAGATAAACTCTCAAAAAACTCAGGTTCCAAACAGGCCCGAAATTTCAACGTTCTTAGAAGATTTTAAGGCTTATAAAAGCTGAACTGAAATTTTGTAATCATTAGTCTGTTTTACTGAATTTTGAAATCATTAGTGTAGTTTTGCTGCTTATTTGTATTGTTTAATTTATTAAATGTTAACTTTTTAAGTGGTTAAATGTGTGTTTTAATTATTTCTAACTTTTAATTATTTTTATTCTCTTACTAATATAACTTATATACATGCATAAGGGGTATTTATGAAACAAAAATTTCATCTCTCTTCTTAAAGTACTTTTTTAATATTACTTTTTTAAATTGGACTAACTTTGTTATCAAGATTCAAAACCTTAACCTTGGGGGATATTTGTATAATTTTACAAATTTCAGTGGATGCCAGTGAAATTGTTAGGAACCCAGGGGAGCTTTCTGAAATTATCCCTAGTAATATATTGACGTCTTCCTCCTGGTTTTGTCGGCCTCCTTTGATTCTGTCTTCTCCCTCCCCTTCTCTCTCCCTCGCGAGATTTTGCTTTTGTTATTACCCCTAGCTTGACCTAACTCCTCCATGGCTCTCCTCCTGCTTGGCTAGAACAGGAACCATTGTTAATTATACGTGGTAATCAGTTTTTTTTAGTTCCTTTTCAATTATGAATCGGAGGTTATGATTAGCACCATGGTTCTCCATTTTTTTTCCTTTTAATTAAGTTGCAGGTGAGCATCCATGGCTCCTGGGAGTAATATGTACTAAATTGGGTTGATCAGTTTGTTGAAGCATTGAAATTTGGGTCATATAATTGAATGCATTTCATTTCCTTTTCTGAAAACTCATAAATTTCAATCGCTGATTATTTGGTCTCCTGTGATTGCTTTAGTTTAATTAATATATTCCCACACATTTTCCTCTTTTGCCTTCCAGGTGTCTGTGTTTTTGCTCAAGCTGCTACATCACCTTGGTAATCCCATTTTCTACTTAAAATGCAATTTATGCTTAAAATTTCCTTACGGCTTCTTCATTGCTATTATAGTCTAGGTTTAGACACTGGAGTTGCCAATTGTCCACTGGTGCTTGATACTCTGCTAATGTTACCTAAGTGGAAATATTGCGACATTGTGTTAGATGTTGAATTTCTCTTAACTATAGTCAGATTTTGACCTCCCAAAAACTATGTTTAATGATGTGAATTTGAATTGTGTAGTGACTATATTGATGTAACATGAGGTAGACAGACTAAATTAAAATGAAGTTATCAATATGGAAGTTTTTTTTTTAATGACCTTGTTTTTCCCCTCATACTTTGTTATATAATTGGATTTTGGATTTCTTCTCCATGATTACGAAAGAAAAGTTTGTTTATTTTTGTTGGGAATCTTCCAATTCATTTCCCAGTCATAAAGTTAATGGCCTTAGAAAACCAAGTCCTTGTGATGTTCATATGCTAGAAGAGTTCAATGGTCCGGTGGTTGAATTTCATTGGTTCAAAGGTTTTTCTTGCGAAGTATGAAAGTTGATTTCCTTCTCTTTATTATTACTTACATGAATTTCCACTGCACTATTAACATTTAGTAGCCCTTTCAGACACATATAACTTTGTAAATTGGTTATGGGCACCTTAACTAAATTAATGAGTGCCTGAGCAGATCTACTGAGGGATCGATCTGTGTGTGCCTAAGCTTTAATTTTTGTTGTGATTACCTTTTTTGTTTGATGTATAGGCTCCTTGGGAAGATTGATTATTCCAACATGTGGTAACGATATGATTCTATCTGCATATTTGTATATTTGATGGCAAGAATTAGTCTTTCTTGGTTTTTTTATTCAGAAGAAGAACAATGACAAAATCGAAGTTAGAAAAGAGATGGTAACAACAGCCTATGACAAATAAATGTAAATGGCTGATACATAAAACCTTTAAGCTTATGCACTGATTTTGGTTGCAGAACTATTATGTATCTGGTTCGGTAGGTTGAGTTGCTTATCTTCCTCTTTTTTGCACAACGAAAACTGAACAACTCAATTTTAACTATACTACAAATGATTGGAACTCTATTTTTTGAAGCTTCTCAGGATAGGAAAAAATAAATTTATGCCTATAGACAAGCTAAGCACTTTGTATCTTGGTTGATAGCAGCTTTAGTAACTTTGAAGAGCAAACGTAATGCACAAACGGAGTAAATAGCCTGACTAATAATAGTCATTCGTAGGCATGAATAAGTGAATCAATAATTCCAAATTTTACAAATGTATTGCACCCATGTATTCTGTCCTTGAAATTTTTTTTTTCTTAGAGGTGTGCTTTAGAACCTAGAGAGTATTGTTTTCCTACCTTTATACATTTTTCTCTTTGCTTTCTATGGACTAAGCTGATCAATATGAGATTACACATAATTAAAAAGAAAAGCATGTTTGTTGTCTATATATTTGTTTTTACGTCTGACATTGAGGTATGGATATTTGACTTTTAGATGCATATATTTTGATTCGCAATGATGGATTGGATTAATGGCTTAGCATCCTATGTTTGCTGGGGGTATATACATTGTGGCCAAATTGACAGTGAAAAATTTCTTTGTCCTGTACTCTTTATTTCATTGAATTTAATTATCTTGTATTCTTATCCAATTGAAGATTTTCTTTTTCAAGAAGCGCAGTTTGACATTAGAAAATCTACTTATACTAACCAGGGCATGATAAGGATACTATCGGAAGCAATGGAAGGGAAGCCATTGCTAATTTTGTCGCAAACATATACAAAGGAGAGTTAAACTTGGATTGCAATGTTAACTTTTCACAGTTTTTTATACTTATGCCTGATTTGGATTTTATAAATACTTAGACTAATAGCAATGAGCATTATTATAAAGTTCAGCTTTGTAAATTTCCAAGATAATAGCTGTAAATTGTGTTTATCATTTGAGATGCAACATTATAACTGATTCTCCCTCCTTCCTCCCCATGATTTTCCTTTCGATCTCTTGCTTAAGGGATATATCATAGCATTTTGCTGATGCTATTAAGAGTTTTATGTGGTCATTATGAATAACTATAGAGATTACCTGCTTATTGTTTCTGTCTAACTCCTACAAGTTTTCATTTTGAAGCGCTAGAATTAGAAAATAATAATATCTACATATTTTGCAATTTTTATAGACTATTATCGCCATTCATTTGTGTGGTTGCCAAAAACTAGAGTTAGTCCAAAAATGGGAAGACCAAAATACAGTGCAGGTGGTTTTAGCTCCTAGAGTGTCTTGCATATTAGAAAAAAAAATCCCAAAAAAAGAAAGGAAACCAACATGACTAATTGTCCAAACTAGATGAGTAAGTGTGACAAGGGGGTTTAGGAATCAAAGTGATTATCGAAATGTAGTTTTAGGGGTGAAATGGAATTAATCCTAACAATTTTTTGTGGGATCAAATCACAACTAGCACCAAATCCAGGGGTGGCTAAGAGTACTATTATTTTCATTATTTTTTATGGAAAAAATTAACTCACACTGGAAAGGTGGAAAAAAAAGGCCGAAAACGAGAAATCAATGCACGCTGCTTCACTAATCACGACTCTCAACTTACAACCTCCTACATAGTCCCCCCTTTCTGCTGCATGCCTGCCCGTCTACACCCAACAAAAATTGCCCGGTGAGTCCCTATTTTTGCTGCAGGAGTTGTTCATATTAGTCTTCTAGCTTATACGTACTCATCTCCTACAGCTTAGCACCTGAATTTGATTGAGAGGAAGTTAACTCAAAGTCGAACTGATGAAAAGTTGTCCTTATTATTGTGCCTAGAAAGTGTTTGATGAAATGTCCATGTGATTTTCTTCAATTTTAAATTGAAACTGGAGGTTTTGATGCACGAATGTGAAAGAAAAAGGGACAAAATAACTCGTGGGTCAGGTGAAATGGGTGAAAATTTTGGGTTTGTTGGTGGGGAGTAGGGTGAAGTCGGATCGCTAAGGGGTTTAGAGGATAGGACTGCTTGGAGATTTTTGAATATCTAAAACATTGTTTTTTCTTTATTTTTATGATAGTACAGAGGTGTATTTTCTGTTTGGTTTTTCTTTTCAGAGAATTGCAGTGAAGTGAGGAAGATTTTCTTATAGTTCTTGGCGTGCATCCTGATCTCGTTTTCATATGGCTGCATCGTCTGCTTCAAAATTGTTTCGCGGTAAGCTTTGCTTTTCTGGTTATTTGTGGTATAGGTTACTATTGTTCGTCGAATGTGATTCTTTTTGAAAGTTCCTTATCTGATATGCACTTTTTTTCCTCTTGGTTTCTAATGTAGCAATATTGCAGTTTCTGCACAATTTATGTTTCTGTTTTTAATGAAACTGAGATTTAGAAGTTTAAGGGATAATAACTCTTGCATTCATTTATGTTATTTTTCTGAGAGTGCTTGACCTAGTAAGCAGCCAAGAGTCAATAAAAAAGATCACTGGCCATGGCTGTTGATGTAAAGTAGGATCATCTTGGTGAAAAGATACTTGTGACCTGGTGCAAACAAGGAGAGGGATTTAAAGGAACTCGGTTCTTGATAAAGTTAATGCAAACTGCTGTAAAATTATTTTCATTTTTATCATGTCACATGGATGTTGATCTGTTTATCTTTATTATTGGAAAGGACTTTTTAATTCAGCACAACTAGACATATTTTATACCCCTGCACACAGAGATGTTCTTGAAAGATCCATCTCCTATTAGCATAGTGTTGGTCAACGACGTAATTGTTGCATGTTGGATGATTAATGCATTTAAAAAATTAGAAACAATTGGATCGTTTCTTGAGAAACTGTTGTGTAAACTAACTTTTGTAATGCGACATAAGATTTGGAGTCTTGTTAGTGTTCATTTGCAAAGGGAACAGAATAGTTGTTTTAAGCTTACTCCTCATCTCAAATATGTGGTTATGAAGTTGGAAATCTACCTTAACGGGATGGCAATAACTTTTATAGAGCTATACCTTCATCTAATTAACCCGCCCTCTCTCTCTCTCTCTCTCTCTCTCTCTCTCTCTCTTTGTGTCTGTCTGGGTGGTAGTTTTTTTTTATTTTTATTTTGCACTGCATGGAGTATAATAATGTACTTTATACACATGGGACATTACTGCATCTGGTGAATTACTTGTGGTTTGACATTTTTAGAGGCTTTGTTTACTTGGATCTATTATGCCTTGCTCGGTAGGTGCCTTTATTTAAATTGCCCTTAAGAGTTAATTTTTGTTGAATCTATTTTGGAATTGGTTTATTTTTTCCTGGTTTGTTTTTTATGTATGTTTATCTGCTATATCTTTGTGAACAACCTCAGCTGGTCGTTCATTGCTTGGGGGCCTGAAGGATCCTAATGGGTCAATAGGAATGTCAAAGGACTTGCCCAGAAGTTATCTATTTTCTCAGGTTAGTTTTCTTCTGGATTAATATGTAGCATAAGTTTGTGTAACATTTATTATTATGTTTAGCCTCTAGTTTTCTTTTGGTTGTCTAGACTTTAGGACTAAGCTCTTTTCATTGGAGTTCATTAGTGCCTTGCCATTAAGATGCCTTAAAGTTACAAGTGTCTTCATCTTCTGTCATCTTTCAGTTGGAACTGCGCATGCGCATTGCATAAGCATTGGATATGTATCAGTCAGTTATTTCATTCTAGAAGTGTATATAGCTCAAGGGATGAGAACTATCAAGAAGAACAATGTCTTAAATGAGGTGCTTTCAAATATGATATATAATATGCTGTTCTAATAGTTGAAACTAATACCAAGAAAATTAGGTTATATGTTAAAGAAAGTACGAGGCTGCGTTGTTCGTAATAAACTCAGGACTAGCTTACATCTTTGACATATGGAGAAGCATGGAAAGGACCAGCTAGACAGAAGACACAAGCAACTTATATAGACCTATTAGTTCTGGGATGTTATCTTTTGGCAGCTCTAAGGAGCTGATAACTTGATGCATACGGTTTATATTGGTAGGCAAAAATTGCCATTATTTTTTGCCTTTAATGGATATGTTTATTCAATCACCATTTGTTATTACGTGAAATTAGAACCAGTGTGATATTGTATTTTGTTCTAGGCAATAGGGAATAGGTGAAAATTTCCCCTTTTGACTAATGAACTCCTCTGGACACAATGCTGAATGCTCCCGCCCCTTGTTCAGTCCCACTCATAAGTAAATAGCATAGTTAACCACAGGAAACTTTGGTGACTGCATTGCATTCTTCATTCATACTTTTCATACTTTCCCAATCATTTTCCAGTTGATTTGCAGTTGATCTCCTGCAAGTTCTACTACAAACTAACAGCAACTAGTGGATGAATTTTTAATAAATATCTATGTTCATTTTGTCAAGAATTTTAACTAAATTTGCATGCATACTAGTTGAATGGGAAAAAAGGGCTTGATGTCATGATGCATGTCCGTGCGAGTATTTTGAGCTTAATTTGGTTTTACGGCTTATCTATCATAAAAAATCAAATACTCAAAGAGTCTCTCTTTGTTCCTCCAGCAACAAAGGACTTTTATACAGATGAGGACCAATCTCAAAGTCGTGGACAACTCGGGGGCAAAAAGGGTAATGTGCATCCAGGCTTTAAAAGGAAAAAGAGGAGCCAGATTGGGAGACATGATAGTAGCATCAGTGAAGGAAGCGCAGCCTGGTGGGAAAGTGAAAAAAGGACAAGTTGTTTATGGTGTCGTCGTTCGTGCAGCCATGCAGCGAGGCCGTAGTGATGGGAGTGAAATCAAGTTTGATGATAACGCTGTCGTACTTGTGAACAAGCAAGGAGAACCAATTGGAACCAGAGTCTTTGGCCCCGTTCCACACGAGCTGAGGAAGAAGAAGCATGTTAAGATTCTTAGTCTTGCAGAGCATATTGCTTGAGAAGTGGCCTTCTGTGATGCACTTTGTGTATTCTGACTGTTTTTCTTAAGCAGCTGTTGCACCCATTTGTGGAGAAATGGATAGGTTTTTGCAAGTTCTCTCTGAGCTTAATTTAGTTACTAGTTAATTCAGATATTCACCACTGAAATGGGAAGTTCCAACATTAATTTCCTTGTTGCCTTCTAGCAAAATCTTAAATGCTTGTTGTCCAGGGAAAAACTTAAAAGCCCTTCTGGATGAACGCTCGCGCGATTACTCCTGCCCTCAAATTTCCAGGTTTGAGATTTTCTCCACTATGCTTTTCAGCACATGATTCAACTTTCCATTGCGCCTTGATACAGAGATCAGTCAAATATGAATCAAATTCGCAAATTCAACCCATCTCCCGCCATTTTTTTTCCCTTCGGAATGTGTTGCCACAATGATTCAACCACTCCCAGTAGATCACATTTGGGTAGATTAGGTCTTTAAGATGGTATAACACAATTTTAACCATTAAATCTTTGAAAATTGGGTATACCTAAATTTTGCCCCAGTTCAGCTGCATGGTAATAAATTGGCGTCTAAAGGTAGTTCAACATCTAGTCAACATCAACATAGAATATGTGAACAGCAAACAAGCAGACATTATGTAAGCTGCAACTGAACGAGCACAAATATTTTTCCCGAATATTTTTTTGCTTGCATCATATCACAATTATGATTTTCAATCAGTTTTTTATCTTTCCAACGACCTTTTTTTTATCTCATGTATATCACAGTACAAAAAGTGTTACAATAATTATTGTAAATAATATTTCAAATAATCTTCTATCCAAACACGCTAGATTTATTTAAATCTGAAGGATTCCGAAATTTAAAAAGAAAAAATTTTCCCCTCACTAACTGATATTACATTTACAATCAACAGCAAACAAGCAAACAAAATGCAAGCTGTAACTGAAGGATTCCCTAAAAAAAAAAAAAAATTTCCCCTCACTAATAGATAATAGAACCTAATTACTAGATAAATACCCAAATATAAATATAATGAAAAAAGAAACTACTAAAGATCTTCAGTCAAAAATTAATAATCTTAAAATACAAGTAAAACAATTACGACAAGAAATTATAGAATTAAAAACAAAAGATTTAGAAATAGAAGTAAAAATAACATTAATAGAAAATCAGCCCTCAACTTCTAATTCTAAAATAGAAGAAATATTAATATCAGAAAAACCAGTAGATGAAGCTCAATATTTAAATACTATAGAAAAAATGATATTTCAAAAATGGTATGCTTTAGTAACCATTACAGTAGAAAATTTCAAAGAAACCTATGTAGCTCTAATAGATAGTGGAGCTGATTCAAGTTGTATTAAAGAAGGAATAATTCCTACTAAATATTGTGAAAGGACAAATGAAACATTAATGGCAGCAAATGGAGAAAATTTACAGGTAAAATATAAATTTACAAAAGAATCAATATGTAATAATGAATATTGTATTAGACATAATTTCATAATTGTAAAAAATATAAATCATGATATAATATTAGGAACACCTTTTTTAATTTTCTTTTTGAGGTCCGAACCATTGCCACCAACGATTAAACCAAATTGGAAATTCTCTGTTACAATTCTCTTTGAATGTGAAGAACCATGAATGGTTGAATGGTCTGTATAAAAACGCACGATACCATGCCATCTTGTAATCTTGATATGTAAATCCATCTGGAATGAATCTAATTGAAAATGATTTTTTGGAATAAAGAGAAGTCCATTCGTTAAGTGAACAAACTTTCTTTATTATACACTTTGAATGGCTAATAATATTTGGATTCTTTTTATTTAGAATGGGGAATATTTCTACAGATTGAGTATCTGTAAGAATTAATGTTTGTAATGGACCCATATATTTTAACTGTGCTCCAAATTTTTCAATAGATTTAACAGACCCACATATTTTGAATTCAGTCATATCAATAGTTTTATGCATATCAAAATTTCAAGATGATTTATATAATAAGAAATTTTTAATTAGAATATATTGTAAATCTGCTAAAGAGATTTTACAAAAGGATGTTCAAAACATAGTTTCAAAACAAATATTTGCAAGACGGCAAACCATTTTATCTGTTTTCGATTTTGAAATTGAATTTATTAAAGGAGAAAATAATTCATTACCAGATTTTCTTACTAGAGAATTTTTACAAGGACATGGATCGTGGCCATATTACTCAAAGAACTGATCGTGAATTTACAAATTACCTGAGAACCCAAAGAGATTCTTCTAGATTACTAAACAAAGAAGCAGTTCTACAATCCAGAGGATATCAATATTTCATTCAGACTAGTGATGGACGACAAAGTATTCCAACCTATCAAATTCCAAAATATGATACAGTATATATTCAGCAAGGCCATTTCACAACCCTTACTCCAAAAGAGAAAGCTTTTCTCATACAGAGAGAAATTCAGAGAAACCTGATTAGAATTCAAGTTCTTCGGAGAGTTGGAAGAAATGAGGAAATTCTTCAACATTACAAGGATCAAAATAAACAACTATCTAACCAATTAAAAGATGTTATTTACTGATTTTGCAGGAATATGGATTCAAAAGCAGGAAGTTCTAGACCTAAGACTCCTCAAAATTATGAGATGAGTCTTACTCCTGTAAATCAAAATAGATTTCAAATACTACAAGATTTTCCAGTTTTGACTTACAGTCAAGTTACTCGCACACCAATTTCCTCTCAAATAAGATCAATCCAACAAATTCCAAAAACCCCAGAAAAATCCAATGAAAATACCTACTTTACTAAACCATTCCATCAGCATATTACAATAACCAGATTCCAAGAAATACCTTTGTATTCTACACTCAATCAGCTTACTCAAAGAATCTTTCCTCAAAAATGTTTTTGGCAGCCTGATGATCCTTCAAAAAATTTGGATTATTATGAATTAATTCTTACAGATACTCAATCTGTAGAAATATTCCCCATTCCAGATAAAAAGAATCCAAATATTATTAGTCATTCAAAGTGTATAATAAAGAAAGTTTGTTCACCTAACGAATGGACTTCTCTTTATTCCAAAAAATCATTTTCAGTTAGATTCATTCCAAATGGATTTACATATCAAGATTACAAGATGGCATGGTATCGTGCGTTTTTATACAGACCATTCAACCATTCATGGTTCTTCACATTCAAAGAGAATTGTAACAGAGAATTTTCAATTTGGTTTAATCATTGGTGGCAATGGTTTGGACCTCAAAAAGAAATACTACCTCCAAATGTATTAATGGGATTCCAGACATATCTCAAAAAAGCAAAGGGGGAAGAGTATACAAGGCCAATATTATTTCATGTGGAATTTAAAGTACCATGGATTTTTTGCTGGAGTTTCAAAATTCATCATGAGTTAGAAAAACCACTTCCAATGTCACTCGTCAGAGAATTCAAAATTAAATGGTGGACAGGATTCAATCAAGAATTTGGAGACCAAGCAAACGTGATAAGATTTCTAACAACTGGAGACAAACTCAAGTGGACAAGTCAGCCAACTACTCCAACCACTCCACAAATGCCAACTACTCCAACAACTACAAAAAAGAAAGACAAAGAAAAAGTTACTAATATGGCATCCGAGGCAATTGCAAACAACTTTTTGATCAAAAAGATGATGCATGATCCCGAGATGCTCAAAGAATATCTGAATTATTTACAAAAGCAGGATAAAAGTGAAGAAGATGACAAAATTGAAGAGACAGCTGGATCATCTGAATTTACTTTTGATCCTTTCGGTGGTCCCCGCGGACAAGATCCAAATGACTTTTGAGAAAGATGTCGGCCACATTTCAAATGAAAGCAAGATGAAATGCAAATACAAATGAAATGCAAGAATGACTGACTCTATAAATAGATTCAAAATCAGAAGATCAAGCATCGGTGAAATCCTTAAGTACAGAGTCTTAAGCAAATCCTTCTTTCTTTCAACCACTCTTTGTATTCAACTACTTTTGTATCATTCTCCAAATATTGTAATAAGAAGGTCAAAGTTTACGAGGATTCTACAATCAACAGCTTCCGTTATCAAAAGCAACTCTAAATTTTGTAAGTTCTATCTTAACATAAATATTTCATGTTCATTTCAAGTTCAAGTTTTAGTAGCCTGGGTAGAAGTGGTATCAGAGCCACACCCCTATTTAGACTTTGAATTACTATTACTTTATTTGAATTACTTTCTATTTTAAATTTGCTAATTTATGCATTTATGTTTGCATATTTAATTAAAATTTTACTGAAATCATTGGTAAGACTTTGATGCCTTATTAGACCGTTGGTAAGTCCAAGATAGGATGTTCCCGACATAGTGCTCAGTTGTTCCTGATTAGGTAAAACTTTAAATAAATATAAAACATGGCTGCATTTCTTAGACAATTAAAAATAGGATCTAATTCAAAACAAGATAGTATAGTACAAAGTCATGAATATCATATGCCTGTTAATAATTCAGACTGGACAATTCCAGAAGAAAAAATAGAACATATTTATAGAATAGGTCCTTTAGATTTCAAAACAGCCTTATCAGTTAAAACACATGAAGAAACAATACCTATTCAAGAAGAATATCAATCTATTCCATTATTAAATCATAGTACAATTCAAAAATATTTAAGTAAAAGATATCGATATATTCATTTAGGTTTAATACAAATTGCAGTAAAACCTTTATTCCATCTAGGAGTAGATGCTCCAATATATTTGGCATTAAGAGATACTAGACTTAAAAAATATAAAACTTCTTTACTTTTTATGATTCAAACAAATGTTTGTAATGGACCCATATATTTTAACTGTGCTCCAAATTTTTCAATAGATTTAACAGACCCACATATTTTGAATCAGTCATATTAGATATTCATCTACAAGGAAATGAATTTGAAAAACACACAAAGAATTTTGCAGTAATATATAGAATATATTATAAACCTTTATCCTCACATCTAAATCCCAAATTTATAATAACTCCAACTCTTAAAGAAAAAACAACTTTATTACAAGTAGATGCCGATAGACCTACAACTTATACTCCAAAAACATTAAAATGGAATGAAATAATTATACCTAGTGAATTTGAAATACAAAATCCACAAATAGCCAGAAATATAGAACAAACTGAGGTAGAAGATATTATAGAAAAACCTGATGACAAAACTTTAATAAGATTT